AATATGGTTCCTGGGGTCACGAAGAGTCGGACACGACTTAACGACTAAACAACAACAACAAAAATACCCCGAAGGAAATTGTTTAGGGTTCAGACATCCTTTGATGGATGATTTAAGTTTTCTAAGATGAGGTTTTTCCTCAAATCACTGAGGATTTCTTTTCTGTCATGACTGGGTTCTCCAGTACTGTTCTGTTTATACTGTTAAGCCTTCTCACAATGTTCTCAGCTTCATTAAGCAGATCATCCTCATCTTAATCATGGTCTGTCTTTCCCAAGAATGTTGTTTTGGTTCTCCTGTCCTACATTATCTCTCGGCCTTTCATCTCTCTTACAGTGCCCTTTAGGCAACTTCCAGAATTCTTAACTCTGCAATAACATTTCCCTTACTTCTGAAGGACATCAGGGTAGGAAAGGCTGCTGTCGAGAGAGGCAGTGTCAGTAAGCATTTTTAAAGATAAAGAATAGTTTGACAGGGATTCTTGAGGATATGGTGATAGACTGGCCAGAAATTGAACAGATAATAAAAATAATAATAAACAGCATTTGGTCAGAGCAATTTTATGATAGGGCTACAATAGGACATAGGGTACATCAGCCTTTTTTTTTTTTTTTTTACTGTTCACTTATCATTAAAAATGGAATAAAAGAGTAGCAAGAGCAGGACAAGAAAATATGTACTGCTGGAATTCCCTTGCCTGGGTGACCAGTAAGTCTGGATTTGCTTTAGCTCCACTGTATCTGGATGTTCAGTAACAGTACCTTTGCTTGTATTTTATCAGACTTATTTTTTCTTTACTGTGTTACAGCATTTCATTTACTGTTTCTATTGATTAGATCTGAACTAATATATGTTAACAGAGACTGGTTTTTTTTCCCTCTCTTTTAAAGAGAGCCAGTTTGGTCTAGTGATTAAGGCCCCAGGCTAGAAACCAGGAGACTATGAGTTCTGGTCTTGCCTCAGGCATAAAAGCCAGCTGGGTGACTTTGGGCTAGTCACTCTCTCTCAGCCCATGACATCAGGCTCAGGCAACAAGCCGGTCAGTCAATTCCTGATGCAACCAATGGATCAACGCTCAGTTGATCCAGGGGGGAGGAGGGGAGCAGATCCTGCACATGCGGGAAAAACGCTAGGAAGAAAAAAAAACTGTAAGCTGCTCAGATTTGTTGACTTGGCTGACCTGGAAATCAAATTAAATACAATAATAAATAAATACAATAAATCTCACCTTGAGAACTGTTGACATGACAGTTATAAACATTGTAATAACAGATTAATATGGGATCTCAACTATTCTGCACATGTGTGGATGTGCATTTTAAGTGCTCTTGTCCTAAGACACATTTAAAAAGTGAGAGTGTTTCTTTGAATTAACCATATATTTTTATTCATTTCATATGAAATGACGTGTTCTCCCATTGGAAGACCACCGGTAGCAGCTTAGTGACATTCCAAATCAAACTATGTGCCCCTAACTCATTTCCAAATACAGTGACAAATGATGACTGGTAAAGGACAGCTGCCACATGGCAAAGAAAAAACCACTGCTGTTGTGCTGGCTGATTAAAAACTGTTGCCCCATTTGATTCATTCATTTACTCACCCCACCCCTTGATCTGCCCCAAAGTGAGCAAGCAGGAGGAGATGCTACTCACTGCTTTTGCAAAAACTCCCATTAGCTCTGGGAACTGATGTGTCAGAAGGGCCAACATAGCCGTGAATGAACATAGTCCAGCAGTGAACAGAATAAAGAATGGAAGCTCTTTCTTGGGGTAGACAGAGACTTCATGAAATGCTGCCAAGAAGATAATAAGGAAAAAAACAAAATAAGCAAAACACTGTTTTAAACAAGGTTACAGACTTTCAACCAATTTGGTCAAATTTCTTCAAGTTATTTTTATTATAAACGTCCATGATTCTTACAATTAATTTTATATTGTACTTGGTTTTGTGCTGTTAATAATTCAGTCTATTTTTCTTGTATTAAACTAACAAAAAAGGAAATTAGGTACATAATACAGTTAATATAGTAATACAATATCAGTGTTTGTAAAGGAGAAGGGGCCTGGGATTTCTCAAGAACAAAATAACTCCTGATCAAATTGCTCAATCATCCTTTCCCTTGCCTTTAAAAAAACATAATAAAATTGTTGACAGACTATATTTATCTGTTTTTTATTAATCATTAATTCATATGTTTTGTTAATATTTATATAACACCAAGTTTGATATACTGTATGTATCATTTTGCTGCTCTTATTATTTTTGCTTAACAAAGCAACACACACACACTGTTGAAATTCTGTTCAATAAAGGTAATTTCACATTAAAGATCCTAGCTTGGATCTCTTTCTCTCTTTTGTTAAGAAACCTTTGGTCATTGGGCATTCTTGACTAAATGCTTGCTAGCCAAATCAAAAACATGTCAAAATAAATGCAGCTGCCTCCTTCACAAATGGGCAATATGCACATTTTCTGCCTAAACAATCACAGCTTTTTAATGAAAAAAGTAATTGGGGATCTTCGAAGTCTTATGTATAGCACAAACTGAATCAATTCCAGCTTCAGGAACCAACACCTTTACTTTCCCACCCAAAGTTGCAAATATAAAAACACTTATGTCTAACGTTAATTCCAGGTTAGCAGGGGAATGAGCTGTTACATCTAGAGAGTTTGCCTTACGACTTTCAATCTGGGAGTACTGATGAACAACATAACAATGGGCTCATAATCCAACTCAAACCTGGTTGCTACATCCTAGGCAGTGACAGATTTCTGTGGAAAACTGAAGATAGATAAACCTTATACAGTGGAACCTCGAGTTACGAACGCTTCTGTTAATGAACTTTTCGGGTTACGACCAGCTCCGGCCGCAAAATTTTGCTTCGGTTTGCGAACTCTGCCTCGGGGTACAAACAGGATACATGGCCATTTTCTCTCCCATGACACGGTCCGCGGCCATTTTTCCACCCCTGACACATGGTCTGCAGCCATTTTGCGCCCCTGACACGTGGTCGTAGGGAGGGGGGCTCTCCCTCCAAGCAATAGCCGCCTCCCTGTC